TTTTTTTTTATACCTCTCATCTCCTGTTTTAACATTTCATTCCCATTTTTCACTGCTCTCTCTTTCTTGTATTGCAGGATGTTCTCCTTATGCAAGCTTTCCCTCTAAGACTCTCGCAACAAACTTAATCTCTGACCTGTCCTCCTCCTCTCCTCTTGACCTAGGTAACTGGTTTAATTCTGCTTAGCAGCCTGTCCTCTCCCCTATTCCCTGCGATTTGTTATTGACTGCGAGACGGCTGAGCAGCACTGTTGTACATGTAGCATTCGAAACCAGAGTTAGGCACGCAGTTGGCTAGTGACATAAGCAACTGCTCTATAAGAAAATTTCCCATCAGAAATGTATATGTAATGCTTAAAAATAATGTTTTTCTAAATGCCTAAGCAAAATAATCCCATTGTCATGAAGAAAAAATGTTATATAAAATGTTTTGACTCTTCTGACCTATAATATTTATTTTTCCTGTTCCCTTCCATTCAGCTTAGGTCCTAAATTTTTACATCTGTTTGCTCTTCTTAATAATATCATAAGTAGAAAAAAAAGAGAGAAAAGGACCAACAAACAACACAAACATGTCTCTGTATTCTAGGGTGCATTATATTTTTGCTGCATAATTTGTTTAAATTAAATGCCTTTGTTTCTCAAAGTTAATCATAAAATTTGGAAATAAAATGCTTGTTGTTGGGATAATAAATTATTCAATTATTTATTTTTGGTCCTGCTAAAGGTGTGAGAGGACCTCCCACCTCAGGGGCACCACCTGTCTCAGGTGCCCAGAGCTATTCTCAGTTTGGGCAAGGAGAAACTCAGAATGGACCACCTCCAATGGGTGCTCCACCACAGAGGTCAGTGACCCATTATATCAGCATGTGTGTTATCAGCACTATGTGTTGTTTCTTCAGTTTTGTGGCTGATATTGCTTAAATGGGATATAAATAATTACTATTTAATGAATGCAAAGTGAGTCTTATTTTCAAGATTTCGCAGCATTGTCATGTTTCTTAATTTGATCTTTTTTTTTAAATTGCTTGTTTAGCCCTCCAGTGTCTCAACCTTACACTCCAGGTGCAGTGAATCTGTCTGGTCCTCAGCCCCTCTACAGCCAGCAGTTTGGAGCTCCAACTGTCAGCATGCAGCATATGACCAATCAGATGGCCAGCATGCAGGTTGGCTCAACTGCACCTTCCCCTGCAGGCCAAGGCTATGGTAAATAACTCTTTTTAAACTTTAACTTATGATCTAGAGCTTGCTGTGATTGATTGATTTGTTCTGTCTTTTTTTCTAGCCCCTCCCTCTATGTCCCAGGCCGCTATGTCTGCTCCCTACACACCTGCAGCTCCTCCTACTTTCCCAACCACTTCCAATGCTCCCTCACAGCCTCCGCCTACTGAAGCTGTAGCTCAGCCTCCTCCACAGTCCTACTATGGAGCTCCACCACCTGCCCAACAGCTTTTCCCAAATGCTGTCCCACCTTTCTCCTCCACTGGCCCCACTCAGCCCCAAGCTCCACCACCTGTTTCTCCACAGTCCTTCCCTCAAGCTCCGCCTGTCTCTCAGCCTCCTTTTTCCACAGCCCAGGCGCCTCCAGGTCCCACTCAGTCATACGGAGGCCCACTTCCTCCAACACAGCCATCTTTCTCGAGACCACTGCTTCCCACCTCCCAGCCCTCCACATTCCCTGCAGGTCCACCACCCACCTCGACTCCATCTCAGCGTCCAGGGATCATGCAGCCCCAACCACCAGTTTCCCAACCCTCACCTTACCACTCAGGTCCCCCTCCAACCTCTACTGGTTTTCCACCACAAGTTGGTGCTCCACCAAGGCCTCCTTTTGCTGGAATGCAGGGCCCTCCTATGGCATCTCAAGGGCCTCC